TGCTGGAACAAACCTCCATCCTCCTCTGCGGTGACTCACAGCTGCTCCGTGTGTTGGTGGGTTTTATGCAGAGTCTGAATTCAGATTCATCACAGAGAGCAGCACAGCAGGGGGTGGTGCACTAACTCTTCCTCTGGGGGATCCGAGGAGGAGGAGCAGCGCTGCAGCTGCAGACAAAAACACTCACGAGTCTGACTCTGATGTAATGAAGATGTACGGCTCCTGCGCCTGTCTGAGAAGAGCCCTCTGCACCTGAAGGGCTGGTGGTGTCGGAGTAATAAAGGCTGTGAAACGTGCAGTGATGTGGTTCTTCTCCCCTCTGCTGCTTCAGAGCTGCTTCAGAAACACGAGTGTCACTTTATCAGGGTCAAATTTTAACGTGTTATTATATCATAAAACCCCAACATAAAAGATAAATCTACAGGAGTCTAAAGTCACTCGTTCATGTTTTAACTTTAATAAGGAATAAAATGTAGCATTAATTCAAATATACGTACAACTCTGCCACTCAAATTAAAATCTGAATACTTAAAAAAGTTTTAAAATACTACTTAAGCCTATCTATGTAAAAAAATAAAATATATATTTAAAAAAACAAACATAAAATAAAATAAAAGTAAACACCGCAATGTTCAGTTTCCGCGTAGCACTGTTTCTCTTGAACGCACCACCGCAGGGAACTCTGGGAAGGAGAAAAGATGGCGGGACGTTCAAAAGCTCGGCGGAGCGTCCGGATTTACAGCCTGAGAAAGTGAAGCTCAAAGAGCCATCCTGCGACACGAACCGTGGCTGCCCCGGCTCTCACCCGGAGCTCGGGCGCTGACCATGAGTGGAAGCCGGCTTAAACTCGGCCCTTTGGCCGCTGTGATGGGCACCCCGCTGGAGGAGCAACAGGCGGCTAAACCGAGAGCAAACCGCCTGAGCAGGAGCTCCAGACAGAGGCTGGGATCTGAGCAGGACTCCCCGAGGAGCCAGCGGGCAGGTGAGCAGCACCTTTCTGTGCCTTTAGTGTCGGTTTACCTCCTCGAAGCCGTTTTCTGTGACCGAACAACCGCTCTCCTGTTTGGACAGCGCGACACGCCAAACTACATGAAAATATCTGCAGATTTAAGGTTTTCTGAAACATTTCACTAAAAATCGTTTTCTGATTCGTGACAAAACGCGTGTACAGCCCGGAGAGCTCACACTCTGCAGTTCGGCTAGGAACAAGCTCCTCAGCCTGCAGCTGTGTGGCTAAAAACCAAACTAATATAGTTGTTAGTGAACCAACCTCTGCCTGAACATTTGCGTTATTGTATCTAAAAACACATTAAAAGCTTTGTCACAGTGAAACTCCAGCATCACACTAACAGAGAGCTAACGGTCCCCTCACAGCGTCGGTATCCATCGCTGCCCCTTGGACCAGATTGACAGACTTTAAACTGTGAGACGTTTACAAAGCTGACAGAAATGATTTTCATCCTTTGGTCCAGAGTTTAAGACCCCCACCAGAATCCCCAGGTTCAGACATACAGGAAGTGTCTGCGGCGAGTCTCCGCACAACGAGTCCGACTTTCAGCAGGACATCATCTGGGACGCCACCTCCCCTTCGCCAAACAGACGCGGTAACGCGGAGTCAAATTTGCTGCTCTTGTCTGTGTTTAATGCACTTTGCTCCACGCTGCAGGCGTGTGCGCACCTGCCTGTGATTCTCTCGTTGTCTGCAGGTAAAAGAGGAAAAACGCGCCCAGCCGGAGCCGTGAGCATCTCGGAGATCGTCAACAGGATTGCTCCAAAGGTCAGAAACGCCCAAAACAAACACACCAGCCTCGCAGCAAACAGCATCTCGCTGTTAAAGCTAACGATCGACTGCACTGACTTTGCAGCACGGCAGACCCGAGGACACGGACCCGACACTACAGCAGTGGATCGGAGACAGCGCCACCATCCCCTGCACGCCAGACGTTCAGCCGCCCAAACCAAAGAAGAAGTCCCCAAGGTGGGTTCACGGTTCAGCTCAGGAGACTGGCGGGAACGAGCCTCAGACGGCACGCTGCACGCCGCCGATGTAGACTCGGTGTTTCAACAGAGGAATTACATCTGTTTTTATTCTTTACTGAAAGTAGAAAATCAAAAAAATCAAAATGAAAGAGAAACTTAATGAGAAAAAATAAAAATAAGTTAATTTAAGGTTTGTAATAATACAAAAAAGACAGCACAGCCCCTCTGCAGGCTTCCTTAAGTTGGCCAATCAAAAGAAGGGTTTGCAAAGGGCCTTAAAGAGACAGGAGCTCTGTTTCAGACACAGGAGGATTATTTTGAAAGGTGGTTCATGCAAAGCTTCTCCAGATTGGGATAAAAACACAAAGCAGGAAGTGTTAAAAGGATTTGGCTGCAGGTGAGAAGGTGTGACTGTGAACGGGATCATCACACAGAACCAATCAGGAAACGGCGCTTTGCTCACAGACCAGTGCGCACGGCCGCTACAGATGCAGCTCACATCAGATTATTGATCATTAAGCTCACAAATACTGCGACAGGCTTAGTGTTTACAGAGGTTGATAACGTTTCGTTCTGTTGCAGGCCGAACGCCGTCGACGACCTGCTGAAGCTCGCCAAGCAGTTTGACTTCAACATGTTTCGTCGGGATGAGGAGGCGGCGGAGGACCTGCACCAGCAGAGCCTGGAGCTCCTGTCCGAGGACATCCTGGATTTCGAGAACGGCGTTGAGATTGAAGTTTCTCCCTCACTTCATGGAAGCCGTCTGCCTGCTGCGAGCGTTGTGGCGGGGACGGGCGTGCGGCTTCTTCCAGATCAACACACAGACGACGATCTGGACTTCCTCTTCGATGGGCCGACTCAGCACGTGAGCGGGAACCTGAGCCAGGCCTGCTCAGCTCAGTCGCAGGTCAAACCTCCCAGAGAGGCTTCTGGGAAACCGTGCGTCTCGTCACTCGGCCCCACTTCAGCCGTTTCCACGCCGCACGGCAACGCCACGTCAGCCCGCGACGACTTCGAGGACGACTGGGGAGACGACGACCTGCTAAATGACTCTTTGGTGTTAGAGATGACGCAAAACCCTCTGAAGTTCGCTTCTCCGAAGCTCTGCTCCACCCAGAAACCTGCCGGCCCGGCGAGACGTCAGAGGGAAGCTGAGCCCGCCGTCGGGCTCGGCCAATCTGCCGCAACCAGAGTGGAAAAGGAAAACGTCAGGCCGAGAGCAACGTTCCTCCTGGAGCCTAATCCTGCTTTCTCTGTCGACAGGATCCAGAACGCACGCCGGCAGGCGGGCTGCAGCTCGAGTCCCGCCGGTAGAGGCGCCGTGCAGAGCGCGTCCTCACCTCGGCGTGCCGGGCAGACCTGTCGGCTCAACTCGGTGAAGCTGCAGAAACCAGCGTCTGACCAAAGAAGGACGTCTGCCGGGATCTGCCGGGCTGCAGCGTCACAGACCACGAACGCTCCAAACTTCCCACAGGAAGCTTCCTTCCACAGCACGCCGCCCGCCGACGGCGACTTCCTGGATGACGACCTGGACGCTTTCTTCCTGTCAGAGCCGGTCTGGGACGACCTGGCGGACGATGAGCTGCTGTGTGACATGTGTGAGGAGCTGGAGAGCCAGATCCAGGGCGTGGCTGAGAAACGGGCTCCTCTGATTGGTCAGATTCCCAACCAGAGCGCAGCTCTGCGGCCGACTGGCAGAACCGGACGGGACGACAGGATCTGGCAGCCGGAAGCTCCT